TAGACTCTATGTTGTCTGCTATAGAAAGTAAACATAATTTTCAATTTTCATAAGAAAAATATAATTCATGTATTTTGCACCATGTTAAGTCACCGTTAAACTCAGCCTTCACAGAATCCTAACAAGTGGCAGTCTCATTGCAGCAGAGACAGTGACAAATTAGATAAACTGGGACTCTGTCCCAATGATAAATAGTAAATCATAGTAGCAACAGTAAATGAAATCCAGTAATTATTATGTAAGACCTATAGATTTCTATTTTATTAATGGCTACAATGGAGACATTCAGTCTACGCAGTTTATAACAGTTAGTCCTAAAATAATGTGATTGTTGTTCTTTGTGTGTGTGTGTGTAATTGTTGTGCTTGTTAGATGCTATTGAATCAATTCTGATTCATGACAACCTTATGTCTATCAGAATGAAGTGCTGCCTGGTTGCACACCATGCTCACAACTGTCAGTACGTTTGACCCCATTGTTGTAGCCACTGCATCAATCTATCTCACTGAAGATCTCTCTTTCACTGATTCTCTACTTTACCAGAGCATGACGTCTTTCTCCAGGGATGAGTTCCTGCTGTTGATGCGTATGATACAAGCAAGACCAAGTCTGCCCATTCTTGCTTCTAAGGATCATTCTGGCTGTACTTCTTCCAAGACTGATGAAAGAATGTGGAATTACTGGAATTGTCTTTGTGTGTGCATTTTTAGTCTCAGATAGACATTTTTCCAAAAATTCAACTGGACTTGAAAATTTAACACCAGTTTCATAAAATAGGAGCATCATCTGGGATGGAACCTTGGGAAATTGGTATCTTGGGGATGAGTATGGCTCTGTGTAATAATATTGTAAGTAAATGGCTTGGAGTAAATTGAAAGAAAAATTAGGCTACTGTGATTGAAAGAGCTGTAGGCCATGTTCTGAATTTTGCACTTGCATCCTAACAGAAATAGTGTTGTTGTGTTGTTGTTTTGTGCTGTCAAGTCAGACCCAACTCATAGCGACCCCTCCTTGGGTTTCTGAGGTGGTATCACTATGGAGCGGCTGATGGGTTTGAACCACTAGACTTCTGATTAGCAGTCAAGTGCCTTAGGCACTATGCTACCAGAGCTTCCAACAGAAATGGTAGCTATCTGAAATATGATCATGTCCCTGAAGAAGGGTTAGTATATTAAAAATACTTTTAGGGAAACATTGGGAAAATAAAATGCAGAAAAACAAAGAAAACCATAAGAAACACATGGGGAGTAAAATAAGTCAAGTCACAAACATCACATGACACCACTTACATGAAACATCTAGAATAGGGAAATATATAAAGACCAAGGTTATTCTTCATTTCCAGGGGCGGGAGGGAAGGCAAAAGAGAGAGCCATTGTTTGGGAGAACTGAGCTTCTGTTAAGGATGATGGAAAAATCTGAAAACACTGGCAATGGCTGAACTTCATGATTAATGTAATTAATATCAGTGAATTTTACATTTAAAATATGTTGAAATGATAAACATTTGTATATATACTTGCTGGGAGTTCTAGTGGCATAGTGCCTAGGGCATTTGACTGCTAGTGGTTTAAACCTACCAGCCACTCCTAGGAAGGAAGATTGGGCAATCTACTTCCATGGTGATACCACCTCAGAAACCCAAGGAGGGGTTGCTACATTTATATACTTGCTATAATTTTAAAACAGGGTAAAAATCAAATGATACTTTTTAAAAACAAGAAAAAAGACTGCAGGTGGGAGGCAACAATTACAAAAGTGTGTCAAGGAGGGGGCAGGCACATGCTCAGAGGATCCCTGGCACATAGAGGGTTCTACTGCAAGCCAGCCTCCTGAATGGTCAGCTGTTGCTGTCGGCCCTGCTACTGACACTATCTGCATAGAAACGGTTAACAGGCCCAAAAGCCAGTGGGCCAAATTAAAGGCAGTCTGGCTAGGATTTACCCAAGAGCCCCATCCCTTAACTATTTTGACTGACTCTCTGGCAGTGACAAAAGACCTCATCCTGTGGATGCACCCATGGGATAAAAGATGGTTATGAAATTAATAGACAACTACTTTGGAGGTAAGAACTATGGTGAGATATCTGAGAAAATCTGCAAGACCCAGAATTAAAGAACTGTATAACACATCCTAGGACACACAGTGCATTCCTCAATGGGCAATGTAGAAGCAGATGCCATGGCAGCAGTGTGAGGGCCATTGTAACCACTGATAATCTAGATGTAGCTGTATGGATTTATAAGAAATGTGGGACATCACATCTGCTATGTTGTCTACTATGTTGTCCAAAAACTGTGCTCCACTTAACTATAAATCAAGGCATAGAGAAAGGGGGAGCATTAAAACGAGTCCCTTACAGATTTCACAAATTGATTATGTCAGCCCCTGTCCAAGTAAGGAATACCAATTTGCTCTCAACATGATTAGTCCAAGCTTCTCTACTTCTACAGTCAATCAGACTACCACCATTTCATGTTTGGCAAACTAGTATCCACATATGGTACTCCTAAAGACATTAACAGTGACGAGGGTTCTCACTTTACAGGGGCCCTTGTGCAGCAATGGGCTGAGAAACAAGGTCTAGACTGGCACTTTCACCTACCTTGTAAATCAGGGGACAGGATCAATTGGGTGGGCGGGGAGAGTGGTCTCCTTGAAGAAGGAATAAAAACACTGACTGTTTGCCAACCTTGAGCTCTTGGGTGGTGGTTTTGCCTGAAGCTAAACCAAAAAAACCAAACTCACTATATGGAGTCAATTCTGACTCATAGTGACCCTCTTTGGGGTTCCGAGACAGTACACCTTTACAGAAGTAGATTGCCCAGTCTTCCTTCCATGGAGTGGGTGGTGGGTATGAACCACCAATCTTCTGGTTAGCAGTCAAATGCCTTAGGTACTAACCACCAGCAATAAATGAATCTCTCAACAGGGGTTGACAATCCTCATTGCAGCAGTTAGATAGTGAACTGCTCACAAGCCAACCTATAAGAATATGGGGAAGACAGCACCTTTAGGGATCACACCCAAATGAGACACCACTGTCATGTACTGTCAGTCAGGACACCAGGAAGCATCATCCCTGAACAGGGCACAACCACTTCTGGCATCCAGTGGCAAGTCTGGTGGGAATGGTTAGGATTCCTGTTGCCAATAAGGCAGGCAGGAGGATTCTTTCACCCTACCTTCAGCACCTTGTTTCTCAATGGGACCACACTGGAAGAAAGCAAGTGGCAAAAAGGTGAATATCAAATGGTAACATCTGGGACACAAGACACACAATAGGTTGGATCTTGCCCTCCCCTGGTGTAATTAACACTGTCATACAGGACGCCTTTGGGCACAAGAGATGGGACACCCAGCCAGGGAAAGTCTCACAAGCTACAGAAGTACTTAAAAAGGAGGAAATAACATTAGATCCAATTTAATAGAAAAGGGTAAGTGTCCTACTTATGTACCTAATGTTTCTTTCTTTTCATTAAAAGTTTAACTGACCTTCTTCTCTGTACTCCTACTGACTGAAAATGTTAATCTTATGGTTAAACTTGAGATTTTGAAGAAATTTGTCTCCTTGGCCTTGAACAGCAAAGAACATGACTGGCTGCCTTAAATGAAGAAACTGTAGCTATGTAGAAGATGTTGTTACAAAACTGGATGGCCCTGGATAGGATCTCCATGGCCCAGGGAGACACCTGTGACCTATTTAAAAGTGAATGATGTGTATATATTCTTGATAATGAATCCCTAGTAGATCACTCCCTTATACATTCACACATAAGACTAGGTAGAATTAATCATCTGGGAGATGATACCTGGTGGGCTGAGAAGAACAGACGGTTCTCTGGATGGGGAACCACGCAGGAGAATTCTGCAGAGCCATTCCGGACGCCTCTTTCCGCCCTCCTCCCCCCAGCTTCATCCTCAGGCAAGACCAGCCTTGAGAAGTCGATCCTGCTGAGACTTTCTAGCCATACGCTTCCGCTTTGGAAAATGCGAGTCCACGCTGCCAAAGTTTTATCACTGCCTATGGGTCGGAGCTCCAAACAGGACCAACTCCGCCATCTTACTGCAACGGTGGTTGCCCGGGTAACAGGCAAGCACCACTGCGGCTGAGCAAGGAGCACCCGTGAGGTTTTAAAGGGAGAGTGCACTAACTAACGGCTGTACTGGTTTGCTGTGCCGGAGGAGAGGGAACCGTTGGAGAACGGGAGTGGGTCGACCCCCCCCCGCCCCTCCCACATCTCTCCTTCGCCCTGCCCACCCGAGACTCACCTCTACTTCCAAACCCACTGCCCCAACCTACACCAAGGAGATGCACTCCCTAGAACAACTAACCATGGGAGATCAGAAGAGCAGCATTTCCACAGGGAGAATGGCAGGCAGAAATGCATAAGCAAAAATGCCCTCTCCTAAACTAAGTACTGATTTTCAGAACATTTCCTTAGCACTCTATCAGCAATAGACTTTATGCTGTGAAAAACCTCAACACCTAAAGTTTATGAAATGGTCTAAATGTTCACAAAGTACCAAAAACTCGTTACTCACAAACTTACAAACTTTTTCATAATCCTTCCATTGTACCCGTAATATCTAAGTGGCTATGTGAGAGACAGTCATGGATTAGAAGCAGGCAGATCCTAGTTTGATAATTAAAGAATGTTTGACAGGTAATCATTTTAACCACAAGAAATAGACCCAGGATTGAAGAGGTGCTCAATAGGACACAGAAATGGTGGTAGTATACCTGGAATTAACACTGAGAAGTCACAGAATAGAAGGTTAAACCAAAAGGAAAGGAATAGGGCAAGAATAGGCAGCAAGAGGAGTAGGAAGGATCAAGAAAACAATCAGAAGGCTTGAAAACATAAAATTATAAAGTGGAAGATTTAGGATACCTAGGCCTCACTCAAATATTCAGAGGAATTGAAAGTCCTTGAGTAAGGAAAGGTGTTCAAATTGAGGCACATGAGAGACAGGAATTATTCTACACTTAGACCCACCTTCATTGGAGATTTCTGAAGAAGTTGGTTCCACTCGCATGCCTTTTGGGCTCTGTGAGCAGCCCTTGCTGAATAAAACTTGATGATGGCATAGAAGCCAGGCTGAGCCACTGTAGCATTTGGGAATACGCGGACTGAATACAGAAGGCCAAACTTGGAGAACACAGTGAACAGAGAATGCTGTGGAGAGAGAGGTCTCATGCCAAGTAAGGGATAGAAAACAAAACTACATACCCCTCATATTCCCCAAGCCCTTCTCCACAAAGGATGCAACTCAAAACACTTCTCAGTTCATCAACTTTTCAATTCTAAAATCTGAGAATTAGAAGGTAATATGTGCAGGAACTCTGGTGGTGTAGTGCCGAAGGCATTTGACTGCTAACCAGAAGGCTGACGGTTCAAACCCACCAGCCACTCCTTGGAAGGAAGGTTGGGCAATCTACTTCTGTAGTGATACCCCCTTGGAAACCCAAAGAGGGGTTGCTATGAGTCGGATCCGATTCGATGACAGTGAGTTTGGTTTGGTTTTGGTTTTTGGTTGTGGAGAGTTACATCTCTGGATCTCTGCTAAATCTGCTGGGGCCAGTTGCTGGGGTCCACCCTAAAACTAATATTCCAATTGTCTTGAATTTAATGTGGCCTGATATTAGCAGCGATGACAAGGCAGGTGAGGAAACCAAACCAAATGAACTGCCATCTAGCCGATTCGGAGACTCTCTAGGACAAGGTAGAACTGCCCTATAGAGTTTCCAAGGCTGTAAATCTTTATAGAAGCAGACTGCCTCATGTCTCTCCCTTGCAGTGGCTGGCGGGTTCCAACAGCCGACCTCCTTGTTACCAGATGAGCGCCTTAACCACTGCGCCATCAGCGCCCCTGGAGTGAAGAAACAGGAGGTAGCTATTCAGTGGGCGACGTGGTAACTCTGGACTTCAAGACTACCAGTCACTGGGTGGGCGGCTTTCCCCATCACTCCCTCCACCTTGGCCCCAGCTCACATGTAAGTCTTCGGCCGTTGGCCCAGAGCTCAACTCCCACACTACCAAAGTTTTATCACCGCCGGTGGGAGCTACAAAGGGGATCAACTCCGCCATCTTACCGCAACGGTGGTTGCGCGGCTAACGGTCAAATGCCACTGCGCCTGTGCAAGGAGCAGCCGCGAAATTTTAAAGGGAGCGCGCACGAGGGGCGGGACCGGTTTGCTGTGCGCGAGGAGTGGGAGCTGTTGGAGAGCAGAAGTGGGTGGTCCCCGGCCTCCCTTTCGTCCCGCCTACCCGAGATGGGCGTCTGCGTCTAGCTTCTTTCCAACCCCACGGCCTTAACCTGCAAGTTTAGTATTTTTTTTAAAGTGTATTTCAAAATTAGCGTTCAAAGGGAGGGCTTATGGGTCAAAGGATGCAGATATCTTTATAGCGGCCGGCTGCATTTTCACTCCTAGAGGAGACTAGAGAATTAGGTAGAACTAGTTACTGAGCTTTAAAAAGATTTAAGTCGGAAATGACCTCTAAAGATGCAATTCTTTGAAGAGTTTAAAATATGCAAATCACGGTGTAACTCACTAAGCCATTAACATTCTAGCATGTAATCCTTTAAAAGAATTCCCTGAGATTCCTACATGATTCTAGCAAATCCTGTGTATGGTTTGTGGGGGAAGCATAAATAGGACGTTGGGGAAGTGGGGTGAGAAGCAAAGATAAAATTGGAAAATCTAAAAATGGGTCCAATTAAGACCCCAAAATTGCAACTATGGTGCCTAAGGTAGGGTGTTCCAGGCATTGTGACAGTGAGATATTTGCCCGAGTAACACACAGAGCAAGTAGGTCCCAAAACACAATTTCAATCCCCGGCTGTCAGAGCCAGAAGCAACCATGCAAAACATGCGTCGTGGGGTTTCCAAGATCATGGTCCTCAAAAACGTGGTCTGGTCTGTGATGGGTTTCACAAAGAGAAACAGTATTATCCGAAGTTTTGTTTCGAATTTCATAAAATCAATTCCATGTTACTATCCTAAGATTATGACTGCCTTACAATTTTGAAGATAAAAATTGTTTTATGAAGAGATGCTGATAAAAAGATGGTAGTTGTTTTGACTTCAGCACTGAAATAAAAAATTAGAAATCTTGTTATGGTCTTAAGTTTTTATTTCATGTTTTACTGGTCTATGAAATCCAAAAGTCTGGAAACCATTGATAGTCAAAGTTCTCATTTTATAAGTGAAGCAACTGGGGCCCACAGGTAGCAGCCCAGTTTGGTCAGACACTATTGATAGTAGAACAGGACGATCCACCAACTGCCCCTTTTCTGCGTTTACCTTGTCCTTAAACAGGTTCCGCTCCACCTCAGCACCTGCCAAGCAAACTGGGTCCTATCCAAAGAAGCTGTCTTTAAAAACCTAACTTCTAGCACATTCTCCCAAAGTACTACAACATCATTTGCACTGGGCACCATTTGCACGTGCCAATCACTATCCCAGACCTTTAGCCCCACCCATTACCTATTTCTCTTCTCTTTTGCTTCTGAAACAGTTGACTTTGGTAGATTCTGCATCAAACTAATCATTGCAGACTTTATTATCCATTGTAATGACTTCTGTTTCTCCTTCTCCTAGATTACGAACGCTTGAAGAGCAGTTGTTTTATTTGGTCTGAGAGAGACTGCCTCATCTCTCTCCCTTGCAGTGGCTGCTGGGTTCCAACAGCCGACCTCCCGGTTACCAGATGAGCGCTTTAACCACTGCGCCATCAGCGCCCCAGGAGTGAAGAAACGGGAGGTTCAGTGGGCGACGTGGTAACTCAGGACTTCAAGGCTACCACTGGGTGGGTGGCTTTCCCCATCCCTCCCTCCACTTTGGCCCCAGCTCACATGTAAGTCTTCCGCCGCTGGCCCGGAGCTCAACTCCCACACTACCAAAGTTTTACCACCACCGGTGGGAGGTACAACTCCGCCATCTTACACAACGGTGCTTGCGCGGCTAAAGGTCAAGTACCACTGCGCCTACGCAAGCAGCACCAGCGAAGTTTTAAAGGGAGCGCGCACGAGGGGCGTGGCCCGTTTGCTTCTGAAACATGTGGGCATCTAGCACACTCCCACCATATAAGGCGCTCAAATATACATGGAATTAATGAACAAATTAATACATTCTTTGCACCAGGAATACTTTTAATAATTTCAAAACTATAGAAACTCTTTCAGTGTGGTCCTCTTAATTTGCAAAATGACAATCAGGAACCAGGGGCCTGGGCTTGGATGGGAAAGAGGAGGAAGCCTAAGAGAACCATTTATGCCTGGGGCTCCAGTCAATATTAATTGTAATGGAGAGAGAAGAAAAGTGTCATGAAGTGGAGGCAAAAGGAAGAAGAAATGAAGAATCCTCAGGTAGGGGTGGGGGTAGAGGTTCTGGAATGACTCTACAGCAAGCCTGCCACATGTCTCATGCCAAGCGACACCTTGTCATCCAATAGGAGAGTGGCTGACCCGAACAGTGCAGCTTTCGTTCTATCCTGTGGCAGGAAAAAAAGATACAGTTCTTGCTTCTCATTTAGTAGTTTCTTCTCCACACACATGACACAGCTTTTGGTGAGTGTTTCATGCAGGGAACCACCCAGAATTCCCTTCATTCCTAGCTCTCTGGTTTATACTGTAGTGGCCCTTCTGGTTCTTCCTTTAGACTTCCTTCATCTCTGGTGTTTATCCTCTTCCCCATTCAGTACTTTCCCACATTTTTAAATCCTGTCTCCTGAAGAGGCACAGCATTGTCTTAGATGACTGAAGGTGACTGGAAAAAAAAAAAAAAAAGTCCCATTGACCTCCTTTCAGAAAGGATAGGCCCTAGTGATGGTCAGTGTTCCTTCATTTGCTCGGTGTTTTAGAGTAGGCAAAGCATTTAACCCCTTCCATCCTCTTAGTGTGAGCTCTGGTAGCATAGGGGAGCTCTGGTAGCATAGTGCCTAAGGTGCTTGACTGCTAACCAAAAGGCTGGCGGTTCAAACCCACCAGCCACTCCTTGAAAGGAAGGTTGGGCAATCTACTTCTGTAGTGATACTGCCTCAGAAACCCAAGGAGGGGTCTCTGAGTTGTGTCTGACCCAATGGCACATAACAACAACATCCTCTCAGTCACCAGTAGAGGCAGTCCATAGCAGATTTATATATCCAGTTTGAAGTTCAGGAAAGTTAAGTGCCCATCCCCTCCCAACTTTGGAGGTATCTGCCCAGCTGATTATTATTATTTTTTTTATTGTGATTTGGGTGAAAACTTACCCAGCTGATGTTTTTAATGGACAGTGTTGCTTTCAGTTATGAAGACAGGGCCCCTGTGGTGGTCATGAATGTGTTTCCCTACTCCTCCCATGGCTTCAGCTGATCCAAACTGAACCAACCAGATTCTCTATCTCAGGTACTTGGATTGTGTGTTAGGCTGGGTTCTCCAGAGAAGTAATACCAGTAAAACCTATATATACATACAGAAAAAGAGAAATTTATCATAGGAAAACGGCTCACACACTTATAGAAGCTGGCAAGTCATGGTTCTTGGATCAGAAATCAAGCTGGGGGCTTTTCCCGACTCACACAGCTGCAGGGGCTGACAAGCTCAAGGTTGGCAGGCAGTATTCCAGCTGTTGACTCCAACAAATGATGAATCCAAGATCTCCAGGCCAAATGATGGATTGTTCACTCACGGACAGTTGTAGGCAGCACAACAGGATCCTGAGCCACAGAAGAGTGTCTCTTTTCCCAGGATGACCATAAATATATTGAAAGCAGGCCACACCCCTAGGGAAACTCCTTTTCAATGGATTGGCTGCTCAAAACTTATACATCAGATCCTATCATGGGAATAACCCACATCCCAACCACACAGATTTGTGGTCCAGCCAAGTTGACACGTAGCTCCAACTATCACAGATTGGATCTATGCCTAGTTATCTGTGGGTGCCTAGAACTTTAGCCCATAAATTTGGGACAGCCTTAGCCTGTCTTGTGTGCTGGCGAGCAAAGAAACCTGGTCTGCAGAAAGAGTAGTAAGCAAACACACCAAGAAGCAGAAACCTACCCTGGGAAGCCTGCTGAGTTTCCAGACATTCTATTCTCTTCCTGAAGTCCAGGTGCACCCCTGTGTTTGAGTCAGTGAGAAACCTTTTCCTCACACAATAAATTTCTCCCAGCTAACTCAAGTTATTTTATGTTATTGAAACCAAAAGAATTTTGCTAATACTCTATCATAGAAAGAAGCTAGGTCTTCCAACTCAGATTTTCAAGCCCTTGCACTACACCACATTCTTCTAGACATCTAAAACGGAATGCTCACAAATCCTTGCCTACTGCCCCATTCTCTGTTATATTCCCCATTCTTGGGCACTTTTCCTGTTAACTCATTCCCATGGTGTCCTCCTCACCAGTTGCTCAAACCCCCTTCTCCGGACAAGATGTTTTTTGCACAGTTTACCGATGAGAGAAGGTTGGGGTCCAGCAGTTCTGAAAGGGAAGAAAAGGATACTTTTGAGCACACAGGGGACAGTCCTAAAGACTGAGGCAGAAAATGACCTTCCCGGCTAAAAGGACATAGAGGCAGCATCTTCTGACCTCCCCTAACTTCACAAGAGGAAGACGGAATCACCATCAACAGCCCAAGGCTTATTCCTATGAAGCCAGACATGCTGCCACCCTCCAGCCTTTTTACCAACTTTGACACCAACCATCTCTTCCATGGTACTCACTGCTTCTCTGCTTGGTTCAATAATTCATTGCAATGGACACACAGAACTCACAGACAATACTCACAATTATGGGGTGTATTAGGGAAGTAACAAGCTACAATTCAGTTTCAGGAACATGCTCAGAATACAATTCTTCGATCAGGACAGTCTCCCCTCTGCTGTGCCCTCAGAACTCCTCTCTGGCCCTTGGCCTTTTGTCCTGGCCTCTGCCTCTGGGGGCCAGGTAAGCCTGCCATGCTGTCCCATGCTTCTTGGTTCCACTGCCACCATCTCTCCACCAGCCAGGACATCTCTCTCCTCTGCAGCATCTCTCAGCCAAGGAGGTCCAGCGCAGGGATCTCAGATCCAAGGACACACGCCACGTCACCTCCAGCTCTT